GTGATACTGACCCACATTCTTAGCCACTCTGCTTAAAGTGCCAGTGATAGAGAGTAACTAACTAACTGGGGAGGGGGAAGGAACAGCCCTTTGAAGAGGTGACAGCTGAGCTGAGACCTGATGTGTGAGAATACACCAGGCATCTTGTGAAGTGCAAGCATAGAGCCTGGCTGGGGAAAAGGTTTCTTTGAGGAGAGAAGGGAGGTCAGTGTGCCTGGAGCAGAGTGAGCCAAGGAGAGGGAAGTGGGGAACTAGGGAACAGGATGAGAGGGAAGGGCACGCGTATCTGGGGGCTTTGGGGGCCAGGGTAAGGGCTGGAGTTTTATTCCAAGAGGAGTAGAAAGCCACTAGAGAATTCTAAACAGAGGAGTGGTGTGATCTGGTGGGGAATTTTAAAGAATCAGTCTGGCAGCCTTGTGGAAAGGATTGTAGACTACTTAGGGGACTTCTTCCAGAGTTCATTGAAAGGGTGCTGGTGGCAGGCCCAATAGTGGTGGCCATGGCAGTGGAGAGAAGTGGATGGAGGTTTTAGAATAGAACTTACTGGGTCTGCTAGTGGCCTGAATGTGATGAGGGACAAGAGAGTTGGAGATGACACCTGGGCTTTTAGTTTGAGCTGTTGGAGGATGAATAGTATCATTTACCCAAAATGGGGAAGGTTGTTGGGTGAGGAGCAGAGAAGGGTCAAGAGTGAAGTTTTGGACATGCTTGTTCTGTTTGAAATGTATATTAAGACGTCTAGATGGCAATGTCTAGTAGGCAGCCTGATACGTGAAACTAGACAGAGCTTGGGAGCAGTCTGGGCTGGAGATAGAAACGTGGGAGTGGCATGTGGAAGTTTGAGATGCATGGGAAAAGGGAGACACGCAGGGTAGTGGGCAGGTTAAATGCTTTGCAATACCATTCAGGTTTTCTTGTTATTGAACAAAGTCCTGAAAATAGAGATAGCAACACCAAAGTAAATACATTCACCACGGTTTGCAGTATGGTTTCTAGCAGAGAGACTTCATTCTGCATGTGACTGAAGTTTCCACATACATGTGCTCAGGTGTCCTTGTGCTTAAACCTAATCCTCCCTAGTATGCTGGCCTGGGGTCTCCAAAGTACATGATGGCCTAGATGTGGGTGCTGGCCCACTCACTAATTGGAACATAGGGGTGACCTAAATCCTGAGAAAGATTTAGGGCTTACACAACAATAAAATCCATTCTTTCAAATTAGTTTGGAATCCATTAATTCAATTACAATTTTTAAATTGTATGTTCAAGTACATAATTAATGGCCCAAGTTGTATATTGCAAGTATATTTTGTAAACTCTCTAATTGAATAATGAACTCATTTTTATTTGATATTTTTATTTTCTGTTGTAAATCAAGCTTTTCATAGCATTTGAGCAAGATCCCTATGTTAATTTGCAGATGGGTTGATTGTGAATTTATGCTTTAAAATATTTAGGAACATACATACTGTCCCTCACACACACATTATTTCATTTCTGTTGCCACAACATTCCACACTCTGTTCCTGTTGCTAAGGCCCCTGGAATGTCCCAGTGCAGAAAAAGGATATAGAACTCCTTTTTTTTTTTTTCTGAAGAAGACATTTTATTTAAATTATTTTGTATCCTCTAGTTAACTTCCAAATATGGATATCTGAAAGTAAAGAATTCAGAAAGCTAAAATTAAAGTTGCTTTATGTTTTAATAAAAGAAGCTCAATTTCTTTTTCTTTTTCTTTTTTTGAGACAGAGTCTCACTCTTTCACCCAGGCTGGAATACAGTGGCACGATCTTGGCTCACAGCAACCTCCACCTCCCAGGTTCAAGTGATTCTCCCGCCTCAGCCTCCTGAGTAGCTGGGGTTACAGGCACCTGCCACCACACCCAACTAATTTCTGTATTTTTAGTAGAGACAGGGTTTACCATGTTGGCCAGGCTGGTCTCGAACTCTTGACCTGAGGTAGTCTGCCTTCCTCGGCCTCCCAAAGTGCTGGAATTACAGGCGTGAGCCACTGCACCGGGCCCAAGGAACTGCCTTTCATAGGGTAGAATGAACTGGGTTTAAGTATACCATGTTTCTTTCCACAGAGGGAGCATGTGTGTGCGTGCTTTTTAGAGAAATTCAGTGTGCTCATGAGAAATTAAGAACCGAGTTTTCCTGTCACACAAACGAGAGTCCTGGTTATGCTACTTTCTTGCTGAGTGATATTAACTAAGTTTGTTTCTCCATAAGTAAAATGGGGATTATTTTGTAGGGTTATTATTAGAAATAAATGGGAAAAACCATATAAGAACTGCTTGGCATAGGGCCTGGCACATAGTAGTCTCTCAATAAATGTCAGCTGTTTATCATCAGTTGCAATTGATCTTAAGTTATTGAGGAAATAGACATTTTTACAGAAGTATAGATTCTTGGTTCCTTACAGGATAACCCCTACCTTTTTAGTTTTACTAGTCATAAGTCTCAGAAAAGGATCAAAGGAACCAGAGCAAAAAAGAATAATATTGTACATGATAAACATCATGTGACAAATTGAATTCTAATTTGAAAGGATCAGTTTAGATTTTTATTTCTCTTAATTGCTTTATTTTTTAAGGGGTAGAGGGTTAGTCTGCAGAAGAATCTGGTATCTGGCAAAGTGATCTATTTTAAGTAACATTGCTTTATATTCAGAACTGAGGGAAATCAGAGACCACCAGCAACGCATTGCAGAGACCTAAAACTAAACTAAGACTGTTTATTTAATACTATTTTAACTGCTATATAATAATAAAACGAATTGAGTTGATTTCATTAATGAAATTGTTCATTTGATATCTATCTTACACTTTTCAGTTGTAAATTATGAATGTTATACCAGTTCTGTAATTTAGATGTATCAGAGGCATTTAGCACAAAAGCATATGGAACTTAACGGTAAACTACTTTAAATTTTATTTTTCAGAATGAAATGTCATGTCAAGAAACTGTAATCTTGGGTGACTTATTACAAGTATATCATTGCATAGATATAACCTTTCCCCTTCTCCCACGTGTACTATATTTAACTCAATGTGGGCAGGCTTTCAAGGAAAATAGCATATTGTTTGGCTCTTATTTTTAATTAAATAAGCATAGTCACAGAAGTCTGTAGTCTACTGGAAGCTTCATATCTAATCAGTTTATACCGTCAAAGATGGTCAGCCCTGACATTCCATTTTATTGACATTGGAATCTGGAAGGAATCTCTAAATATCATTATTCCTCTGGTCTGCAAGAGGTAAGAAATCCAAGCCACATTATAAGTCAGAATTGAATTCCAGCTGTTGGCCTTAGACAAAGTACTTTACCTGTCTGTGAGTCAGTTTTCTCTTCTTTAGAGGAGGGATATAATGGTATCTACCTAGGTAGTTGTGAGGATAAAATGAAATAGTAGCACGTAAAAACTACTCGGTGTTGCAGGTACATCCTCAAATCATGCTGGACTCTATATTTCAGATTATAGCTAGCTATCTGTGCAATTCAGTGTAATAGAAACTGTTGAAGAAAATTCAAGCTATAGCCATGTGTAGATACTAGATCAGTAATTTGATATTTTAGAGATTATCATCACTTGACATCTCCTTAGGGAATTTTCTTCTCCCTTTAAAACCACCAGGATCTCCCAGGCTGGAGAAAGTGTGAAATTAAATCTTCATAGGAAAGAAAGCAGACGCTAATCAGCTTCTTGGATCTTCCCCCTTGTCCTTTAAACTTGGTATTTGATCTACTAAAACATTTGCTTAAATTGAAGTGTGCTAATTATCCATTTATTGCAGATACTCTAAATAGTGAATATGGTATAAAATGCTTGTTTAAAATCCACTGATTTTGAAATACTTAAAAAGTTAGATTCTGGATCTAAACTTTTAGCTCTGTTCCCCAAATTGTTGTTCATAATTAATTGTTCATAGTTGAGATGTTTTAGTTAACCATATTTACCAGGTATCAAGTTACTTTCAGTTTTCATGTATATGCATATAGTTTTGTTTTACTTTTGCGTTTAATTAAGTTGCTGTCTTAACTGTTAAACAGTTCATATCCTATCCTATTTTGGTAACCAAACTGATTAATGTGTGAAATGCTGTTTGTACTAAAGTTCAATCTGTCTTTCTGGTGGCATCAGTATGTAAGCAAAAGGACTAGAGGTTGCTATGACTTGGAAAAAATATATGAAAATAATTTTCATTATATGACATGCTGGCAAACCAATTTTACTCCTCTCTGAAATCTCTACTCCCTTTCTTAATTGTTCCGCAGAACCCAGGAACCAAATAGCTAGAATAGAATGCACAGTTAAACAAATAAAAGCATTAGGTGGTACAGCTTTGTGAACGAAGCATTTTATATGGTTGCAGATTCTTTCCCTTAACTCTTGGTAGAGTTCATCTAATGTTGCTTTATTGTACGAATGTATTCATTGTTTGCATTTTAAAAGATTGTCTGTTTCACCTCATAATAATTATTTTTGGCGCACTTTAACCCTTTTTAAAGTGTCTGTGTAAGCCTGATTTGATTTCTATTTAATAGTGGTGGTGCACCACATCAGTTCATTTGTCCTGGTACGCTTTATAATAAGGCAACTTCTTTAGAAAGTATTGTTTCCTGGCAATCACGCCTGTAATCTCAGCGCTTTGGGAGGCAGAGGTGGGCAGATCACGAGGTCAGGAGATCGAGACCATCCTAGCTAACATGGTGAAACCCTGTCTCTACCAAAAAAAAAAAAATACGAAATACAAAAAATAAGCCGGGCGTAGTGGCAGGCGCCTGTAGTCCTAGCTACTCCGGGGGCTGAGGCAGGAGAATGACATGAACCCGGGAGGCGGAGCTTGCTGTGAGTCGAGATTGTGCCACTGCACTCCAACCTGGATGACAGAGCAAGACTCCATCTCAAAAAAAAAAAAAAGGAAGTATTGTTTCCCAAAATGGTTTTATATCAATCAGAACCAGATGAGTGAGTGATGCTCTGTTTCTCTGTTGCAGACATGCCAATATTTGGTTTCTGTCCTGCCCATGATGATTTCTACTTGGTGGTGTGTAACGACTGTAATCAGGTTGTCAAACCGCAGGCATTTCAATCACATTATGGTAAGTGCTTAACCATTTAAAAAATTGTTATTAGAAGATAAAAGGTAAAGCAAGATTAAACTAAGGAACAGTGATGGCATGCATAGGGCATAATGTCCCTCCCCCACCAGGAGGTAGACTTTTTAATTCACTGAATGGGTTAATAACAACCCATTGTTGTTGGATATTTTAAAATTTTTATTAAAAGTGATATGAATGTTTTGGCTTTTATTAAAATTAGAGAAAGTATAGTTTATAAAATCTCTTGTAAAATGTTGCATCAGTATAGTTACCAGTTTGTTTCCTTCTAGAGCCCCTGGTTGTATATTCAGTGGATTTTAAAATTATATATTACACTCACAGTATGGCTACATGGGCTTTTTATTTTTATTTTTATTTATTTATTTATTTATTTTAAGGAAATGTGATTTTGAAACTTCTCAGTTCAATAGTTCTAAATTTTGGGTGTTAATTGTTGAAGAGTCCAAATACGGTTGTTTGGCATTGTCATAATGCCTTTACAGTGTTTAAGATAAGATTCTGATTCTAAAATCCTTGATTTTCTGCCCAGTTTTGCTCAATAGCAAATCATAAGTATTTGAATACCTACCTTGTTTCAGGCATTGAGTATGTAGTATGATTCTTACTGCCACAGAGTTTACAGTCTAACTGGAGAGGCAGGCAAAACTAACTAGATACACTTTAAAAATAACTATAGGTTTTTTCCTCATTGCTCTTACTACTACAAATGCAAGCTTGCAATAGAGAGTGACAATGGGGTTCTTCTATAGATAGAGTGTTTAAAGAAAGCATCTTAGGAGGTGACACTGGAGCTGAGTCCTAAATGATAAGAAGGAGCAACTCGGGCAGCGATCTAGAATAAGAGCGTTTGATGCAGAGGGAACAGCCAGCACACAGACCTGAAGAAGGCCTGTGTGGCTGAAGGGTATTTAGTATTTAGTGAAGGGAGGTAGAAACTGGAGGAATCCAGCATTATAAGCAGGAACCTGATCATTCATAGACCAGGCTAAGAAGTAGCTTGGGCGCACTGGAGGATTTATGTAAGAGAGTAACACAGTCCTATTTCAGTGGTTGATTTGCTGAGAATAAATTCTGGGAGAAGGGCAGAAGCAGGGAGAATAGTTAAGAGGCAAGAGATGACATTGAACTGAGAGTAAGATCTGGCAGTAGAGCTAGGAAGACTGCATAGCTTTGAGATACTTTTGTTGTTTTTGTTTTGTTTTGTTTTGTTCTTTTTTTGAGATGGTGTCTCACTCTGTCACCCACGTTGGAGTGCAGTGGTGCGATCTCAGTTCATTGCAACCTCTGCCTCCCAGATTCAAGCAATTCCCTTGCCTCAGCCTTCCTAGTAGCTGGGACTACAGGCGCCCGCCACCACGCCCAGCTAATATTTGTATTTTTAGTAGAGACAGGGTTTCACCATGTTGTCCAGGCTGGTCTCAAACTCCTGACCTCAAGTGATCCACCTGCCTCTGCCTCCTAAAGTGCTGGGATTACAGGCATGAGCCACTGCGCTCAGCCAAGAAACATTTTAAAGTTAGAATTTACCGATCTTGCTGTTGAGACTGCTGTTGTTGGATTAAGAGTCACACCATCATAAGCAACATTCCACCATTTTTTTCAAGGAATAAATCCTCTATTTAACCATAAAAAGATCATTTGAGTTCCTGCTTCTAGAAGAAGCCCTGGGGTAGGCACTAGAGTGGATACAGAGGTGGATAAGATGTCATTTCCCTGCTTCTGACTTGTGGACAATACAGACAATATTTTGGAAAAATCACTTGTAATCCACTAAAATGGGAGGTGTGTCAATGGGGACAGACAGAGCTGCCACATATGGCTACACAGTTTGTGCACTGAACAGCCGTATTTGGTGGCCCCAGGTTGGCAACAAGGTTGACGTGAGCAAGCACAGGAGCAGGAAATTCCAGCCTCTCTGGGATGTGCTGCATGAGTCACCATTGGCCAGAATTGATGTACCCACCTGTGGATGAGTGAAGCTCAAAGGCAGGCAGGGACTAGCTCACAGGGCATGAGTGCCCATGAGTCCCCTGCTCTGGATGTCTCAGTGAGGACCTGTTGCAGATTTTTTAGAACCAAAGTGATGTGACTTAGTGGTGCCACAGAGAATTGATGGGTAGAGGAGGATTCCTTAGGCAAAAGGAGGATCTCTTGGTCCCCTCTTCTAGGAGTATTTTATTCACTGGTTACAGCATATTTATATGAATTTTTTTTTTAATCTTCTCGTTTCCCCTCTTAGAATGTCAGTGTATGGGTAGGAAAAAGTGTTTTTTTGTTTTTTTTGTTTTTTTTAGACAGAGTCTTGCTTTGTTGCTCAGGCTGGAGTGCAGTGGCGTGATCTTGACTGGCTGCAACCTCTGCCTCCTGGGTTCAAGCAATTATCCTGCCTCAGACTCCTGAGTAGCTGGGATTACAGGTGCATGCCACTATGCCCGGCTAATTTTTGTATTTTGGGTAGAAATGGGGTTTCACCATGTTGGCCAGGCTGATCTGGAACTCCTGACCTCAAGTGATTCGCCCGCCTCGCCTTCCCAAAGTACAGGGAATATGGGCATGAGCTACCACTCCCAGCCAGGAAAGTATCTTAAAATCACATTTTTCTGTCTTTCTCCTTTCCTGCCTTTCAGTCCCTCGCACAATATCTCCTAGTAAGATACTTGTTGAATAACAAAGGGTTGGTGTTAACTTCAAACATGTAAATGGAAAAGTGTGAATGCACTCCAGGGTCTCCTGTGGTTTGGCAGGAGGTGTGACTGACAAAGTCACTAGGTGGGAGGCTGAGGTGACAAGGGAAGTATTAAAGATATGAGAGAGGAGAGTTCCTGGCAGAAACATGAGGGCCAAGTGCTCTGAGGGAGTTACTCTGCCGGGAAATGTGTAAGGAGTGCCCTCTTTGAATCAGCAGTAGAGGAGATGGCTGCTGGTGGAATTGACAAGAGGTTTAGGGTGAATGTGGGTTTGGGAGAGTAACTGCATGAAGTAGAGGGAGGTACCATGTGGTGGCCCTGGAGGGACTTCCCCTGACTCACTTGGAGGAAAGGAGAGGTGGACAGGGTTCCCAGGACCAACAACCTTTACCGGTGCTGCCACAGTCTCTTCTATCTTTTGGGGACAGGGGTTGTGACAGGAAAGATTATTTTTGGAACATTTTCTTTTTTGTTGAAATTTTTAGAAAGCCAGTTGTTGCATTATTGTTTTCCATAGTTAACAAAAAACAGTTTTCAAATTCAGAATCTTTCAGAGTGACTGTTGTAGTTTATTTAGCTGCCAAAACAGGGATGGTACTTTCTTTCAGTGATATTGGCGAAAATGTGTTGGCAGTCTTCTGTGAATTCATATATTGCTGTTATCTGTCTGTTACTTTTATGAACAAATGAATAGTTGCTACAAACTCCAGCAGGCAGTTCCTTTAAAACCACTGCTACTAGGACAAGAAAACATGCTACAGTGGCAGCAAGTCTTGTAAAGTCAGTCAGTGCTGGTGGTAAAAGTATTCTGAATTGGTGAGCAGCTATTATTCAGAGTAGTTAAGAAGCCATGTACTTTTTTGCTAGCCAAGCTGCAGTTTGAGGAGTTAACAATTAACCAGGATTTCCATTTGAGCAATGATGGTGAATGATTGTGGTGCCATTTTGGCATTTTCAGTTTTTCAGTCTGATTGCTCTCATAGCATAGTTTGCTTTCTTGGAAACTACATAGTAATACCATTTCTTGATGTTGTTTTAATGTTTTAAAATACTCCAGTGTGCCTCATATTTCTCTTCAGTTACTTAGTATTTTTAGGAGTAAGCTGTGAAACCCTATCTCTACCAAAAATACAAAAAATAAGCCGGGCGTGGTGGCGTGCATCTGTAGTCCTAGCTACCTGGGAGGCTGAGGCAGGATAATGGCTTGAACCTGGGAGGCGGAGCTTGCAGTGAGCCGAGATTGTGCCACTGCACTCCAGCCTGGGTGACAGAGCGAGACTCCATCTCAAAAAAAAAAAAAGAGTAAGGTGTTTCTTACTGCTAATTTCAGATTTAAAAATATAATTCAAATCAGTGGATCCCAAACCTGCTGTGCATCTGAATCAGGGAAGCTTTCTAAGTGAGCAGCTTCCAAAGGCCCGCTCCAGATGCTCTGCATGGGAATTTCAGGGATAGAACGCAGGATCTGCATTCTAAACAGCTCCCTGGGCTGATTCTGACACACTGGCTGGCTGGAATGCATTGCTTTCACAGATGGCAGATACAGTCCACTCTGGTGGAGCTGCTGCTTGGTACACACAGTGGCTAACATATAGTGACTGACACAGATTGGCGCTCAGAGATTCATTGAGCCAACCAGAATGGCAGGAAGGGAGGCCCCTGCTTTTTAAAATATCTGTATTACGTTCTGGAAATGTCACATTAATTGCCAAAAAACTTTTGAGTAGGAGGAAGCATTGAGAGATGGTGACGTTCCTAGGGTCAGAAGCCCCATTCTTTTGAGGTGGGAATCTTAAGTTCTTCAGTTAGTTTAGTGGTAAGTGTGTTGGTTCTATACTGGCTACTGAATAGCATAAACTGTGTAGTACTACTTACATGCATTTACTCTGGCTCTGAATGGTGGGATTAGCCTAGGGTTAGCAGATGACTTGTGGGGTGCTTTTGAGGCTGTATACTGAGAGAGCGTCCCAGGAATTCCTATTTTGTGCTCTCCAGCTTCACTGAGTTTGCTTATGAAGAATACTTTAATATTTCTCTTTTATGCAGACACAGGGGTGATATTACCTAGGAGAAATAGATGAATGATGTTTAGTCCGCTTGGACAAGTACCACATTTAGAATCTCTGTGATTAATTGAAACCCTACTCAGATGTCGGCTGTTGAAGTATTTGCCTCAGATTAGTTAGGCTGATCCACTTGTTCACCTTTTGGCTCAGCTTGACTCTCTAAGCATGGCCTCGGTGGTGACATATGGAGCAGCCACCTTTTCCCAACCTTAATCAAATTCTGGCT